CCATCTGTAGTTGTCTTTCTGCTCACAAATGCTTGCCATTCCGAGGAAATAAGTTCCCTGAATTTGACAAAGAGAAAGAACAGAGCCCCTAATTCTCAGAGGCGAATCACAGCAATTTTCTGCTGCCCTGCGACCTTCGAACAAGCCAGAGCTCAGGGCTGGGTTTGCTTCTCCTACGTTGCAACTACTGTTCTAAAAATATTCCTAGCAAAGTGCTTTAGAAACGGCCTGTACTTCTTATCCATGGGGGGAAATGAAGGCGGAAAAAACAGTGGCCAGATGTTTCTAATAGAGCAGAACTGGTTCACATCAAATCAACATGATTTTGTCTATCATTTCCCCCTATTAAAAAACACACTCCCGTAGCCCACGCTGGGAACTGTGTCCATAAAGGTCCTGTGACACTGCCCAGTGTTTTCCGAACTCCAGTCACGTGGGAACCACCTTCACATTTTTTGCCATATCCGTGTAAAGTCTATTATTTACTTATTTTCACTAAATCGGTTCAAGTTCTTATTTAAATAAGTGTACTGATAAAACTTTATGACCCTACTGAGTAATTCTGTCGCCTGCCAAGACTCTAATCAGAAGCCTGCTCTTTCTTTATTAAAGGGTGAGTGATAAGGCTGACAGGTGTTAAATGCATGCCAGAGCCAAACGGAGACTTTCTCTTTGACAACTAGAAGCACCGAAGGAAAAATGAACAGGAGATAACTTTATATTGTGATGTAATGCCATGCCTGTTTTCTTAGCGTAATGGTCGGTGACCCCCTACCAAAGCTGCCAGGCCTCACTGCTGCAGGAGGCACACTGCACCCCTGGGAGTTGTGCAGTACACGGCCTGACCAACCATCAACGTCCCTCACTTCAGAAAACACTGATGGAGCCCGAAAGGCATGACAGAGGTAGCGAGTAACTCAGGAAGCAGAGTTACAGGAGAAAAGGGACCTTATTACACCTTAGCACATTTTCTGTTTTTATCACCTGATATCAGTTAATAAGAGGGACACGTCAGGGAGAGGAAAGAACACAAGACCTGAGGGTGGATGTCTGGAACTCTGACCTCCAGGCCTCTGCGAACACCCTGGGGTGAGGATGAAGCGGGGCTCTCGTGGACACTAGGACCCCAACATAAGACTCCTGACCCTTCACAGCGAGGGGCATAGTTAGTTTCAAAGATGCACATACTTCATCTTAAAGCAGCATCCTCCCCACCCCTCATCCCCATATCCTTTTAAATTAAGTTTGCAGCTGATTCAAGAAACTGAATAATAATGTGACATCTTCCTCAAACTGAGGTTTCTTCCGGGGGCGCAGCGCCCTGAGTAACGATGCCCTCTGATGGGAGCGCTGAGGCTGGCTCCCACGGCGGACCCCTTGTTCGTTTGTTTCTAGCCTGTGTTCCTAGCTGCCAGTTGGCAGATAAAAGCTTCTCTGTCTCCGTCAGCTCCCCTATAAGGTGGTCCGGGGGTCCCACCTTTCGCAAGCTTATCGCCACGGCCCTGCAGTTTGTGATTTCACCACGGAAAGGCTTCGTTGTTTCTCATGAACTTTTTTTCTGCATTATTTGGGTGTTATTTCCTTTTCTTTCGGTAACCTTGCTTCACAGGGCTCACCAAGGGGGCTCTTAGCAGCTTCCCTCTTCTCTGGTGAGTGAATCTCAGTCTTGGCTTCACATGGAATCGGTGGGGAGGTTTCAGGTCTTAGACACCTGCATCTCACCCTGGGGGCGTCGGATTAAATCGTCCAGGGCCGTGGCCTGGGTATCGGGATTTCTGAAAGCTCCTCAGGGAATCTGAAAGTGCCGCTGAGATTAGGAACCACTGGACTCGGTCTGTGCTTTCCAATTGTAATGTAAGTCTTCCCGGATCTCGCTGAAACAGATGCCGACTCAGCGGGTCTCGGGTGGGGGCCTGAGATTCTGCATTTCCGACAAGCTTCCGGAGGGTACTCATGCTGCTGGTCGAGGACCCCCTCGCAAAGCTCAGATGAAACTACCTGCTTCCAAGTGTCCTCCATTCAAACCGGGACTAATTAGTTTTCACCTTTATTCTCTCTGTCCAATACCTACACAGACTCAAGTAACATGTGGTTTGTAGCTAGCAACAGCATTTTTGTGTATATGCTGTTGTTTCATTTCTGAATATCTGATAGCGAGGATTCCTGTTCTACTCACATATCAAAAATTATCTGAAAAAAGCAAAAACCCCTCAAATCAGAAATCGGAATGATGAACTTAGGCTCCCAAAAACTAGGGTGCACTTCCTGATGTGGGAACCCACTGAGAAGCTCAGAGTTTGTATGAAGATTATTTTAAAACTGAGGACATTTGGGATTCAATGGATGAAGAAAGAAATCTTTTCGGAGCTTTCCTTCTCTGATTAAAAACAGAAACCTCTGGGAAATGAGGCTGCCATAAGTTCCCTCTTCTGAGTGGCTTCTACTCTCAGGGAGGAGACTGAGAAGAAACCTACCACGAGTCCCCATCCAGGGGACTTTCCTGGCCTTGAAGAAGGCAGAGGGACCAGTCGCACCTGCATGAACAAGCACTATCACAAACTTCCCTACCAGTGTTTGTTCTTCTAGAAACCCGTTCGTTCTATCCATTGAGGCCTTTTCTCCTCTCTCCCCTCTCCCTGCCAGGAAGGGTATATAAGCCTCTGCCTTTAATCATTTATGGAGCTACTTCTTTTGTAGACTATCATGTGCATATGTAAACTTTTTTCTCCTGTTAATCTGTCTTTTATCAGTTTAATTTGCAGGCCCCCGTTTACTGGACATAAGAGCGTAGAGGAGAAGTTTTTCCTCCCTGACATTAAGCCAATGGAGGCTGCTATTAAGTAACCATCCCTTATGCCTACGTCTTACTCTGCCTCCGTGTCCAGTCCCCTAACCCCCACTTCTCTCGTATGTTCCCATTCGCCTAAATTAAATCATGTTATCTAAACAAGACCCTGCCTCATAGTTCAGAAGCTGTTTTGGAATTTCAATTATGAGATAAATTATGACAATGAGATCGGCACAGCCAGTGGATAACACCCGGTAAGAACTCCACCTAAATCCAAGTGGAAAGTTTTCTGCAAATGAACCGCCTGTCGCATGGAGCAGGCCTGCCATAGTATCTGGGGTGCAGAGCTGCGATTTGAACACTGAATAACAGAAACGTTCCCTATATACATTTTCAATATATTAATCGAAAGAATGAAATCGTCATGCATAAAGCATGATTTTTTTAAAAAATAAAGGAACTCAAACTGGCCCCTACGACTGTATCTTACAGACCACAAATAATTTGCTAATTAAGACATAATGACTATGAACTCGCATACAAGCGGCTTTGAAGCCGCATCGAGACGTCTTTGACACTCATTTCTCGGCAGCTGACTCGGCCACAGCCACACGAGCTCAGGGCCCCGTGCGGCGAGCACCTGGGACAGCATCGGAACCTGCGCGTGTCCAAGGTCACGCGTCATCTCCGTCCGCTCTGGTGTTCGGAGGGGCTTCTCTGAGGAATCTGCTCCTCTGCAGCCCCGACATGTGTCTTCTCTCCCCTCGTGTTCACCCTGTCTTCCTCCCCTCCGCGCTGGGAAGGCCCCCCACGAGGAAGGCCAGCCCGCAAGTAACCCTGACGGCATTCACGAAAGCGCATTCTCCCGAAGTGCTCTCGGCACACAGCACCCCCTCATCATCTTATGGGAGCCCATGTGTGAGGGACAAAGAGCTTTGTTTAGTCTCTAAATTGGCTACTCTGACAATGGGGCAATTTTGGCTCTTTTTGAAGCTTCACAAAGCGCAAATCTGGCGTGGATTCACAAAGAGCCGCGCTGAAAGCTGATGAACGCCACGCGAACTCGCCATGCTTACGTGGTGAACTGTTACGAACCGGCAGTTAGGGTGGGGGGGGCGTGGAAGTCTTTACTGGACATTCGACAAGCATCGCAGCAAATCCTAATATAATAATATGTATAGTATTAAGTACAATGTTAGCTGCTAATATTATTGCAGCTAAACGTTTGAAAAGCTTGCTGCATGTCTGTAACTGCACTAGGTGCTTTAAATACATTGTGTCATACAGAATTCTGAGAGTTCGGCCCCGCATTATCTCCAGTTTAGACCCGGGAACTTGAAGGAGGAGCTCAGGAAACTCACCCCCACCGTGTGCCCCTGCTGAGGGCAGGGATGAGGCCCAGCCTCACGCCACCCTGCCCCCACCTTGTCCTCTGCCTGTCTGTAGCATGAGCAACATCACATGAGATCCACCAGATGTTAGAGCTGGAGGTCACTTGGAGATCGCATCCCTCCTTGTCAGAGGCTTAGAGGGTGACTCTTGTGGTCCAGGGTCTCCTTGGGTCGAGGGATGAGGAGGACATGTGGGCTCTCCACCACTCCCTGTGATGAGAATGCTGAGTTTGCGCCCGATTACTTTTGCAGCCAAGAGCCATATGCTTTGGTTTTAGCCCTGTGCTTTCTAAGTGCACGTCTTAGCCCCTGCAGGAATGGGGCTAAATCCCCTGACCTTGCACGCCTAAACGCACCTCTTAAAAATCTGGAAGGCTGCAGGCTAATCGTGTAAATATGGCCTCGGGAGATGAATCTCTGTGTGACATAGGTAAATCTTTTCTCCTGATCTTAGAACTCGGACTATGGGGCTACACGTCGGTGGGAGTCCCAGAGGCAAAAGTGAGGGACTGATGTGGTCAGATCATCCGACAGTGATGTCGCAGACATCATTAGGCATCTCGTGATTTCACTCATATGAAGAAGAGCCGACAGTTCCCACATTCCTGGCCTTCGGCTCACTAACTCTGGCACGAGCCAAGATGAGGTGCTAACTTCTGAGCACTTGACAGGTGCCCAGCACTGTGATCTGAGCTCTTGCGCCCCAAAGTCCCTTCCTCCGCTTACATTACCAGTGAGACTGTCATTAACCCATTTTACAGATGAGGAAACCAAGGTTTAAGGAAATAAAGCCATCTGGCCGAGGCTGCTTCGGCTTTTACCTGAATCCAGGTGGTCCAAGTGCCAGGGGTCGGTGGCAGACGACATAGGCGAGAGCGTGAGCGGGGAGGCCCCGCAGTTGGACTCCACCAGCTCGCCCTGGATGTGCACGTGAGCAGAGGCGTTGGTCTGCCGCAGGGCCGCCTTGAGCGGGGCGAGCTGGTTGAACTGGACCCTGGAGAGGCACCCTGTGAATCCTGGGGTGTTGTACTTGTGAATCTCTTGGTCAATCTTCCCTGTTTCTAAAAGAAAAAGAGAGAGAGAAAGTAAAAATCTGATCCCACTTACTACATTACAACTGTAGAACACACTTGTCTTTGAATGCTTGGGTCCAAGTCTCAGGTTTCAAGTTAAGATGCTGTATTTTTTTTTCAGATGAAATATTAATGACTTGGTAAGATACACGGCTAGAGATGTCACTTTAAAAGACTCTTCTGTGTTACTAGAGAACCTGGCAGGGTCCGGAGAATAAGACTGTATTTGTTAAAATAAAACACATTCGTAACTACCTTCCCGATACTCAGGATATTGCTGAAACTGGCAACATTCATCCAGTTCTGATTGATTTTTCTCCTCTTTTCTGGTGCTTCAGAGACCCTCTTACATGTATTGAACAAGGCCCTCTGCTAAGCCCTCCTGAGAAATTATGGCTTCATATTGTACCTCTTTCTTATTTTCTTCTTTAGGATTATTTAAAAAAGAAAAAAAAGAAAAAGAAAAACAGTTCCCATAACCTGTAACTGGGCAATTCCTCTTTCAGAATCCAATCCCCTCGGAATTCTGAGGTTCGCTAGCATATCTGATGGACGTTTTGGAAGTTAAGACACTTTCCTGAGTCAAGCATAAACATACACCTGCATTTAAGAATTATCACCCCCTTGCCCCCATCCCCTTCCCAATCTGTGAGCTCAACATCTCCTTAAACTAACATCCAGATCAGGGGTGAGTCCCAGTAGAGGCAATCCCAATATAATGTTTCTATCAGCATAACCGCACATTGTCGTCCAGTGAAAACAGTAAAAGGGACTGTCTCTCTGACCCTCGGCCCCAAGTTTTCGAAGTTATCCAGCAGAAACAAATGTTAAAGGACTCTCAAAACTTCTTCATCCGAGTTCTCACAAGGTGGTTCCTGGACCAGCAGCATCAGCATCACAGGGGACTTGTTAGAGATGCAAAATCCACCAGAAACCTTTGGGGTGGGGCCCACAGTCTGTTTTTACATGCCCTCCAGGTGAGGCTGAGGCTGCTAAAGGTGGAGAACTAGAGATGCAGGCAGTGACTGTGTGTCACTGCAGGCCTAGGTGACGGGCAAGCCACCCTTCAGAGAAGAGCATAGCAATTCATATCTGGGTGGGCGATTGTGTTAATGTGACGATTACCTTCTAGATGCAAAGATGAGGATGCGAGATATTTTCCCTTCCACTTGAACTGTGAAAAACAAAGACTGGAAAGCAGAAGGCTGCCTACTTCTTGAAAAAGCTGAATTCAGAGCTGGCGGAGTTTCTCACTGGGGGGTGAACACAGGTGAAGTAATCGTGTATAAAAATTTACTTCCCATTAATTAAAGAATAAATCAGTAGAGAAGGGAGCAGGCCTTGGGGGCACAAGAAGTGGATGTATTCATATTCATTGCATTAATGAATCAGTTCAATGACTGACCTATACTAGTCCCATGTGCATTTCAATTAACAGAAGAGATGTGACAATAGGGATGATGAAGAATAGTAACGCAGGGTCTTAGACAAGAACATAAAGACATTTTAATGAATGATCCTCCATATTTTTCTACCGCAGTCAATTTCAGTCTGACTTTGAGCTACAAGTACGTGTCACTTAAGATGAGAAAGTAGAACACACTTGTGACCCTGTACGAAAAACCCACAGTCAGGACATATCCTGAGGGTTCCTTTGATGGCCAAGAAGAGGCTCTGGTCGCAGTGACACCTGTGCTGGCTTGTCCCCCTTCCTTCTTGCTTTCTCATCAGTGATCACAGGCTACTCAAGGATTCATTCTTTGTCTCCTTGTCTAACATCTGAATTCCTTGTTCTCGGTCCACCAACGTGCCTTCCACACAAACAGTTAAGATACCGGGCTTCCTTCCCTTCTCTCCAGCAATCTGCCTTCCCCTGAGACATCCTCAGACCAAGGAGGCTCACGGAGACTGTGCCCAGGGTGGGAAGGCAGACTCCAGTTTCTCGCTTTCCCCAAGTCCTATCTGGTTTTCCCTGTGGTCGTGATACCAGATTGAATGGTCTCTTGGTGGCATGGAAACTGGGAACATCCTCATCTTCATCAGCTACTTCTACTCCATGAATGGAGAGTTCTTTCTAGCCTGTCCTGCTTTGAAGTAGGTCACCAGAAAAAAAAAATTGGAGAGCTGGTAGCTATTGCCACTTGGGACTTCAGTTTGGTTCGGTTCGGTTCAGTTCAGTTCAGTTCAGTTCAATTCGATTCGATTCGATTCGATTCAATTCAATTCATCATAGGCATTGACTGTCTAGTAGCAGTAGCAGGAAGATAGAGACTAAGATAAGGATTTACTCTAAGCAGCTCCCAACACAGCTGAGAAAATAAGCATACAACCCCCAACACACTGAACACGAGCTGTACAATCCCAAGAGTTAACATTTATTGAACCTTTAAAATGTGCTAGATGTTTTCTACGAATTTATTCATTGAGTTCTCAGAACGACCCTACGGAGAAAGTACACGAGCAGACTAAGGTTAACGCTAAGATCCCTGGGCTACTGAGGCCGGGCACACCGACCCTGCCGGGCACACCAATCCCACTAGGATTTTCTGATGGAGAAACAGACCAGGTGTCAGGCAAAATTATCAAAGTCTACGGGAAACCAGGGAAGCGCATTTCCGTGGGGTTCCGGAGAGGTAACACTAGAATCAGGTTTCTTTCCCCCCATTCAACAGATTTTTTAGCGTGTCACCCAGCATTACTAATGCCAGGCACTCGGCTGTACAGCAGGCCTGTCGGACTCACCCCCCCCGGGGTAACTGAACGTTCGTGCCGTGTGACCCGAACTCCCATCCCCTCCTGTCCCGCCGCAGGCCCCCCAACACCCCCCAGGCACCATTCTCTCTGCCTCCCTGAGTCTGACTGTTTGATTCCTGATGTCAGTGGTGTCACATGGTACTTGTTCTTTTGTGTCTGGCTTATTTCGCCCAGCATGGCGTCCTCCAAGTTCATCCGCGTTGTCACAAATGGCAGGATTTCTTTCTTTTTAAAGCTGAACCCTAAGCCGCCGCATGCGCAGGCTACATTGTCTTAATCCATTCACCAGTGGCTGGACTTTTTATTTCCCTATTTCTGCTGTTGCGATAATGCTGCAATGAACATGGGAGTGCAGGTGTCTCTTCAATATCCGATTTTAGTTCTTTGGGGTATATACTCAGAAGCAGGATTTGCTGGGTCATATGGCGGCTCTATTTTTAATTTTTGGGGAACCGCCATACCGTTTTCCATGGCGGTTGCACCATGCTGCATTCCCACCAATTTCTCCACAATCTCATAACTTGTCATCTGCTGCAGAACTAGGTTTTGAGGGTGAAAGGAATGAGAACTCCAGGTTGTGTCTGTTGTGAGGTTTATGCTCTGGACCCTGTGGGAGTTGGTGGGGTCGGAGCTCGGGCCAGGCTAGGAAGGGCCCGAATGCCATGTTAAGATGCTCGTATCTCAGTGAGAATCTCAGAGATGTTTCAGCTACAGAGACTGCGATGGGAACTGTATTAGAAAGATAATCCGAGCCACAGTGTAGTAATTCCTCTGAGCAAGTGATCGCATTAGCCCCCAGGGCCCTGCAAGCTCCCTGGGCTAAGGCAGGGTTATGCCGTGGATGTGGGTAAGGGCTTCTTTTGATCTTCACCAGCATCCTTCTGCCCTTTTATTAAATAATCAATAGCAAACCAGTTTTGGTTTTCTTTCCTCTGCTAGAGATTTGGATAGGAATCTTCTGACTCTGGCTTCATTTCATATGGTCCCTTACGTAGTTCTCTAAACTTTAAGGAGGGCAGGCTTCCCAATCGCTCCACAGAAAATGAATCGTTTCAAGGCTGTGAGCATCTGAGTGTTCCCAATTTAATGTCGGGTCCCCCTTCTTAAAGAGCTGTCCTCTCCTGAGTGTCTCCCTCTGAGGTGAACCTCGGGGAGGGGTAACACACACAAGGGAGATGACCAGAGGGGTGCCCCAGGAAGGGGGTTCTGGTGGTGGGTCAGGGACCAGAGGGACGCCCAGGCGTGCAGGTGCTGTGGGCACTGGTGGGAAGTGGGCAGAGGGCTGGGGGCCGGGCTGCTCAAGGCCTGGGGATGAACCGCCACACTTTTCCCTTCCCTTAGGGGCGCTTTCACTCTGCCCACTTCTCCTTTAGCTTTTCCTTTTCAGCGTTTCTCTCTACTGGGAAAAATCCCCAGTATTTCAAGCCCTGATCCTTTTCTGAAAGGTGACTGGGTCACAAAAACCAGAGTTCTGATGCCCAGGAAAGCAGGCCCAGCATTCTCAAATCTGGAAGCTGCTCCAAGGCTGGTTGAGGTGCCTCGGAAGACTCTGGGCTGAGACCCATTCCCCGGGGGGTGGGGACTGCGGAGATGCTCTTGGTTCTTCTGGTCCTGACGATGTGAAAGTAAGAATACTAAGAGCTTCTCATAAACCGAAGTTGGTGCACACGTGAGGTACCGCGTTCGGCACTTTTTGTGCATTATTTTAGGTCTCCTAACAAGCCTCTGAGCTAGACAGGGCCACCCTCACTTCAAAGAAGGGAAAACTGAGGCCTAGAGGAATTACACCTTTGCAAGTGAATAAATATTATGTCTTGTATGAAAAAGAGGCATCAAACGTTTTGTGTTATTCCCTATTTCTCTCTGGAAAATGGACTATATTATGCTGTTTTCATAGTCATTTGGATTTTTGGTATTTGTAGTCTGGGACTCTCTATAGGAATGGCATAGTGAAGCTTTATTAAAAAAAAACTAATGGCTATTAGAGACTGCTTTAAGACCACGTTTCATTGGTGCCTAAGCCAACAACATGGCGTTCAAAAATGCCGTGAACTGACGTCAAAGCTTTGCCAGCATCATTTAAAGTGCTGGCAAGTTCCATAAATGCTTATCTGGAATAAAAATCAATACTTCTAAGAACATATAACAAACAATGGTGAAGCTATCACTTTAATGCGTTTGAGATTATTACAAGTTATTATGCTGCACTGTAATGTCGATTGTACTTGTCTCAT